AACATACAATGCCTGGATCCCGTCCTGTTTCTGGGAAGCATGTTGTTAGACTTGCGATTCCTGAATCCTGAGCAAGGGCCTTTGACTTGGCGAGAACTCCCGGTTATGCGCATGTTTCTTTCCCTTTCCCTAAACTTCTCAGTTGAAGCAGGCTGCCTCGGTAGTCATGGAACCTTTAGCAAGCAGGAAAAACCAAGTGCTCAGCATACTAAGCGGTAGCTCTCTGCGCGCTGTCTATCGCTAGCAACTTGCCCCGTAGAATTAGTATCATCCAAGAAACTACATGTGTCCTACTCGCATGAGCTATAGTCAACATCGCATAATCTCATGGGCATGGGCTCCTTGCTAGGATTAGACTGAACTACAAGAGGGATCCCAGTGTCCACTATTAAAGGCGCCTTCCCCCTAAGCCAGAGTTGAAGGCCTAGGCCAAAACACCAGAACCCCAACCTCCCCTAAACTCTAAACTCAACTCCCTTAGAGTAGGTCCGGTGACCTCAGTAGCGGCAGGTCGGAAATCCAGACTCGTCTTCTCGAAGACCTGGAGCAATTGGGAGTTGGATTTAAGGATGCTGCAAAATTTAATTGGCAAGAACATGGAAACATACATGGAAACTGGATTTATACAGACATTCGGTTTTAGGACGCAGGGTTGTAGTGAATTATTGAGTGACAGTTGTAGACAAGGATAGCTAGCCTTTCCTGGAACACTTTATTCAACATAAATCCCTGCGATCCAGGCTTGAAGTTGAGACTTTGTAGGACTCGAGTAGTGTGTTCGGGTTTGGGGACTTTCGAAAGTCTAGAAGGTTTAGAGGGTTAGGGGTCTCCGTCGGTTTTAAGGTGGAAGAGAGGTTCGGACCTGCACTTTAATCCAAAATATACCAGCAATAGTACCCCTAAACCTTAAACCCCAAATTCCTAAACATGCTGCCAGAGCTCTGGACTACTGCTCCAGCCACTGAAGCTGCTTTACCTATGGCTCCATTTACCTTCAGGTTTATGGTTTCTACTTACGAATCAAGGGGTAAGTACTACTAAACGGTAGGTAAATGAAGTCACAGGTATTCCTATTTAGAGTTTATAGTCCCCCTAAAGTAGATCGAATATGGGTATATGGGGATCTTATTATAAGATACCCAAAGCCACATTCTATCTACTTAAGGGGGACTATATGGGTTTAGGGGTTCAGCTTTTCCTTGTGGAGTTCTACAGCCGGAGCCCTAGACCTACATGACCCCAAAACGCATGCTGCAACCCAAAAGTCTGAATCCCTAGACCCAATTAGGGTTTAGGGATTTAGGGTTTAGGGATTTAGGGTTAGGGATTTAGAGTTTAGGGATTTAGGGCTTAGGGTTTAGGGATTTAGGGTTAACGGTTTAGGGTCTAAACTAAACCCTCCTACCAGGAAAGCATGTCTAGTTGGACACTTTATGCAGTAATGTTACTTGCAACTGTTTGGCTTGACACATCGAAATCCTGGGCTGCCATCGAGGTTTCTACATCGCAAAATTCAGAAAAGCCGACGGAAGACTAAAGTGCATTTCGCATGTCGAATATAGAGCTGGATGTTGGAAAGACGCCGTGATAAAGAAGCATACAGGAAAGTTTGAGAGAGGGTGTGGGAAGTTTTCCAGAACGCGATTGCTACTACTGTGCTACTGTACCAGTATACTCAGGTTTATCGGCAGAAGACATGTGCGGCCACCCAAGGTTGAAATGCACCTTCGCAAGGTCATGACTGTCATTATCATCATCAATACCCATACAAGCGTCTCACTTCCGGTCGTAGCTCGAAGCATGCAAAAGGAACTTAGGGAAGACAGTATTTGAGAAGGCCACGCGAGGAGAAGCGCTTCAGAGAGCTTTGAGAGAACATGATAAAAACTCAATGCACTGAAACCCCACCGAAACATCAGCCTTATTCTAGGGCGCACCTTCTACCCACATTTTAAGTAAATCTCCTGTAGCCCCGGCTTGGATCTGCAAGGCTGCTGGAAATTTCCAACTTGGGGGGGCAGTTCAGACTTGTTCTAGGGGATATGCTCGGGGATAAATAGGTGGTATATATAGGGGATATGACGATAATGGAAAAGAACATGGAAACTACTATTTAGTTTAGGGGCTTAGGGCGAAAGACTCCAACTCGTATGTGGCAAAGCCACCCCTCTTTCCACAAGCAAACCGGTTGTAAAAGCCACAAACTCCCCAATGACACCCCCTCTCAGCCCCAAATCAAAGAAGAGCCCGGCCTCCAAGAAAGCCTGGCCGGCACATTCCACCCTGCGCCGCCTGGGTGCGGCAGCAGAGCAGAGAACCACGGACTCCAAGGCGCCTCAACACGGTTTTGCGGGTAGGGGGCTGAGGGACCTGGGTTTTAGGACTTGGGCATGTTCAGGGTTTAGACACGCGCATCGCACAAGGCAGGCACGGCAAGAACTGTCCGGTCCGGTGTTCAGGCCTTATGGGATTAGGGTTCAGGGGTAGAGGCTGCAGGAGTTTTAGTGCACGCAAAGGGGAGCCGAGGCAAAACATGGGCCTTCTTTGAGGGTCAGGGGGACTTAGTAAGCAGGTTAATAACCCCTATAACCCCTATAGCAACCCTAGTTATTCCCCTTAGCCCCTTATCAACCTACCAAATCCTACTGACGCTAAACCCTAAATACTGTGGTAGTTTCCAATTCTGTTGCCGCCATGACTATATAATCCCTACATGAGCATAGGATCTGTACCAAAGTCCCGCTGACCCTAAAACCTAAACCCTAAACCCTAAACCCATGTTTATGAAGATATACAGGATGCCGACAGCCTCAGACTGGCAATATGGCGCCAAGTCCCTCATGGGGGTTTTCCCAAACTTCGGGTTACCTTTTTGGAGGTCCCCTAGCATAGATTAAAGCTTTTTGGGGTCTATATTGGGGTCCCCCTATTTAAGGAAACTCCCATTGCAATTTCCTTCATCCACCAATTACATCGCACCCCGGCCCCCACTGGAACCGCACCTTGTGGCGCCATAAAACAGTGATGGAACATATTTCATAATGATGGATGGATAGGGGTAGGGGTGTTCTAGAATTGGAGGAAGAGATTACCACTGACAGGCATGCAGTAAGCTTGCTCCATGAAGCTGTGTAAGGCCTGAGGCTGGGATGCTGTTGAGATACTTTATCAAAAAACACTCCAAAAGTGAAACCCCATCCAGTATCTACTATGTACCCGTAATGCGATAACTTAAGCTAAGTGCTAACAGCAGCCCAGTAGGAAGCTGCATCACGCACGTCTGATCAGCAGTGCTTTTGCCAATCGCAAGCTGCAGGCGGGGCCCGCACCCGGAGTTTGGGGGTCTAGCCTCTTTCGGCTGCGCTTCCACGAAGCGTGAGTCAATTGATAAATGCACCTAAATTCCTCCCATGAGTCCCGAAGAATCTCAAATCCCCGCAAGGCTTCACATACCACCTACTTTCTGCCCTAAACCCTAAACCCTAAATCCCTCAACCCCTAACCCAAAATAGAAGCTTGCATCTGGGCCTTCCGGGGTTCCTTAGAAATGGGACTCGGGGAGACCCGGGACCATGCCGAACCCCTGCTTGTCCACGGACAAGTCTTTACGGGGCATGGTGTGGTTGCAACATCTCACTGTTGCCTCCCGTGGCAAAGGACTTAGCCCAAAAAAAGAAAGTGCAATGGCAGCTCCTCAGAACACCTCCTAACTACCTACAGTCCTCCTTAAGTAGATAGAATATGGCTTTGGGTACATTATAGTAAGATCCCCACATACCCCATATTCTATCTACTTGAGGGCCTCGAGCGGGGCTTAAATGTCAGATCTCAGAGGTAAGTAGAATTGTGATCCTAAAGCCCTATAACAAGCCAATAAACATCCCTGCAATGAGCTTCTTTACATCTCGCACCCTTTGGTGCCCGCTGCTTTCATGCTGGGAATTCCGGGAATAAGACTTTAACCAAACGTCTCAAAACCGTTATCAAGCCTAAATCGTATATAGTATATAGCCCCCATTAAGTAGATAGAATATGGCTTGGGATACATTATAATTAAGATCCCCATATACCCCATATTCTATCTACTTAAGGGGGACCATAACTCTAAACCATAAACCCTAAATAGTAGTTTCCATTTTCTCCTCCATTATCCCAATATAACCCCCCACGTTCTATCTACTTAAGGGGGACTATAACCCCTTTATATACCCAATAATAATATAGAAGTTTCCATTTTCTTTTCCATCATCCCTATATGAGCCACTGTCTAAACTCCTAGTTTCCCCTAATAAACCCTATAGTTGTCTCCTATATAATCTCTTATATAACCCCCTTTAAGGAGTTTAGACTATACCACATATAACCCTACTTACAGTAAGAGGACAAAATGCCATGAATCTCAACTCTGTGGAGCCGCCCGGGGCGGGCAAGGGGCCCGCCCTGGCAATTTGGAAGACAAGAGGACCACGCCCCCAAGCTGAGAAGGTAGGGGTCAAAACGAAATTTTATGTCACCACCTAAGTGATCTTCAAAAAAGGTGGGTTTAGGGTTTAATCTCACCACTTAAGTGATCTTCAAAAAAGGTGGGAATTCCCTCTCATCACCTTCCGACCCAGCCCTGGAGCGGATGCTACGCACGTGATGCTGAGATCATGGGTCGGGGTCTCTACCATGCTTCTCTAGCTTGGCCCCTAAAACCCATTGAAAAATATTAGTATATATGGACTCCTATTATAGCCATTAGGGGATATAATAAATATCCCAGGGGCCTACCCAGTTCTGAGTTGATAGATCAAAGCGTCACGGATAGGCAAGCAAGGCTGCGCAGGGTGCGCCGCTAGCTCCAAAATTTGTATTTCCCCAAGAAGGTAGTTTCCAGAAATAGGAGGAGGATCATGATCAGATATTCCGGATTTGTGAAACCCATAACTCCCAGAAAGGTTCTGGAAACTTTCAGATTCCCTAAAAGGCACGACGTTCCTTGCTCTTGCAGGAAGATTTTAGTTGAGCCGCTCCACGATCTCGACGTATTCCTGCCATGAGCCTGAGTGAATTGTTGGGGGTTGAGGGTTTAGGGGGTTTAGGGTCAAAGAACAAACTTGGGAAAATTAGGGGTACCATTTTGGGGGTCCCAATTTGGGGGTCTGTATTGGGGTCCCCCTATTTAGGGAAACTACCACTTCAATGTTTGCTTTGACTCTAATCCCCCTTAGACCAATCACAAGAGTGATGTTTCGAACGGCTACTTGGGCTTACACTGCAATGGCAAGGAAACATCCTTCCGAAGCGATGGGGAGTAAAACGGCATTCCCAGAATGACCCAGCAACAAATGTCCCAGAATGGCTTGCCACCGGTCTCCCTCGTCCACTTTCGATGAAGCGCATGGCACATGAAAATGGCGGTCTTGATGTCGGTAATCAGGGAAGTACCTGAACTATAGTCTAAACTCTTACTATCCCCCCGAATATCCCGTATAGTACTCCCATATATGATCCCCTATATAACCCCCGTTTATTAAAGAGTTTAGACTGTAGCTCACCTGAGTCCACAGCGCCCCGTCGGATCCTAAAGCCATCCGTGAGGGCGTCCGAGTCCATGCAGTCCGGGACGTTGATCACCTGGGTTGCTGTTAAGGAACTTAAGTTAAGTTACCATCATGGGAAAACATTAATTAATTAGGTTGCCCCAATGTAGTAACTTAAATTAAATCACCTGAGCTGTTAAGGAACTTTAGTTATATTCAGTTGCCACAATATATATATATATAGTAATGATAGGGTTCCCCCAATGTAGTACCTCGAATTACGTTCCTTACAAGCAACCCAGTCACAAGGTCAACCTTGCGTCCCTGCAAGAGCGTCGATGCATTCGGCTCGCGCTTGACCAGCGGCTTGAAGACCATACCTGGGCCCACAAGACACTATTTTTTCTTTCGGTGTTTTAGTTTGGTATCTACCTATAGTCCCCCTTAAGTAGACAGAATATTGGATATATGGGGATCTTATTATAATATACCCAAAGGAATATTCTATCTACTT